GCTAAATCACGTTTTAGATAGGATGTCAACAACAGCTTAAAAATAACTGCATTTACAGATATCTGCATATGTATTAAGTTTATTGTTCTTTAATTCTAACTTTATAAAATGAATTGCAGTGAAACTATTATACAGTTGAATTTATTTATACCATAGTCCAGTGTTTCCCACAGATTTATTTGTGGCGACATATATATATATATATATATATATATATATATATGTATGCAAATTCATGCTGTTGGAGTGGTAGAGATCGAGGTTGCCCCTGTAAGGGCTGAACACAAAGCAGCGCTCCGCTCACAAATGCTGCTTTATCAGATATCACATGCAAGATGAAATGAAAATGACATCCAATTTTCTGAAGTCCTTTCCTTCAGAAATACAGTGATATAAAAACACCTGCACTCAATGTATGGGAAACACTGTAGTCTCATAATTGAAGTGTAAATTCTGCAGATTACATCATTGTCCAGTATTGTACTGTAAATTTGTACAGCAATTTATAATAAAAACGTTTTCATAAGTGTAACACATATTTACATACATAATTATTCAGATGCATGTGTAATAACTTGCGAAAACTTGACGCTACAGCAGCACTTCTTGTCTGATGCACTCAACCAAGCGTTCTACCACGACCTCGCCCCTCCCCAACCATTCAAATTTCCATAGTCGGCAATTATTTTATTGATACTCTAATGGACCGCTTTGTGAAAACCCGAAAACAAGGCTGTAGTCCAAACGAGCCGTTCATTGTAGTTCTTGAAAAGGGATTTTTTAAAAACGAAATATCTCCCTTTGGAGTGTACTTTGAGATTTGTAACTATGTAGATCTTTTTTATGCCCAAACATACACACTACACACTGACTAAAATTCAAAAAGTGAAAAAGCATAATAAGACCCCTTTAAATGAAATGAACGTGGTCTTCAATGTGTGCATGTTATTATTGTCTATACATCGTCATCAGTTGAAGAGAAGACAAGCTCTGCTGTGACAGCTCTTTCATATCCTCAATAAACAAAAACACAAGAGACTGCTTGAAATATATCCCAAAACTATATTTTCATAATCATATATTTACGACATGTCTCATCAGTCAAAACCTTGTTTTATGCTTTACACTGAGTTTATGAATCTAAAATATTAATGTGGTATGGTATCCTCGTGAATATGTGTGCATTGTGTCTTTTGTGTGAATTATTATTGAGACCAATCGTGCTCCATATTCCACAGGCATTGGACACTACATTAAATTTACGATTATTACTAGAAATTTATAACATCAAATTTTAGAGCAAAACTATATTTGCTATGAATTCAGTAAGGTCACACTGACTGCTGAGTTTGAGTCTGATGGTTTTGTAGTTATTTAGTTTAATAGTAAATTGTATGTATTTTTTATATTTCTGTCACAACAATATGAAAAAAACAACAACAACAAAACAACATGGATGCTGTTTACCATACGTAAATACCATATTCATAATGAACATTTGACATCATATTTCTGATGGTGCTGATCTATATTGAGAAACAGGCAAGTAAAACACATTTTGTGTGAAAAGTATAACACATAACACATTGTGTATCTGAGCATGAAGAGCAGATTAATCTAAAATAATTCCTTGATTCATAAACTTTTGACAAACCATTTTTCATACAAATAATGGATTACAGATAGTTTCCAATCCTACATCTTCCTACAGTTCCTGCTAAAATCATAAATAACTGTATTATACCATGAATATAATCAAAAACATGCCATAGATTCAATATTTTACCACCAGAGGATCTGTTTTGTCCTGGTTTGTTGCAGAAGAATGCATTAGAAGCTGTTGAGTATTTGCCTCTGTTCTCTGGCACCTGAACACAACCTGGTGATCACACACACACACACACACACACGAAAGGCAATTGTGTCTAATATTTATTTCATTTTGTTTAACTTAATTTATAACTGATGGAGGTGCGGACATTCTTGATTGTTTATTCCATATTCTAAAAAACAACACTTGGGATCATCCCTTATTTAAACAATTATGATGACTTTTTACTTTCAATTATATTGTTTACTTATGCGTTCTGTTGTTACATTTCACATTCTAATTAGGGACTGTATTATTATATTGTAAAGCTGGTGCCAAGCTCGGACCCAGAAAGGGCTGCTCTCTGAGAAGAAAAATGACTTTTCTGGAAATTAGCATTTGAACACTCTCTTGCAAAATTAGTATCCTCATCCAAGATGCAATCACACTCTGTCTTCTCTGTACATGCTAAAATCACCCAAAACTTGCCCAAAATCTATATGATTTCTAATTGTGAACACTCGCTACACTCTCAGAAAAAAGGTACAGAAACTTGAAAAAGGTACACATTTCAATATTATTTATCTCTAAAGGGTGCATATTAGTACCTAAAGTGTACACTTTAATTCCTTTTGAAAAGGTACTGCCCTCTTCATCCCAAGAGAAGTAAATCAAGAGGTAATAAAGATTTTAGGAGTTTTGAGATATTTTGCTTACTGTGGAGTGTGTGCCTTCTTCCAGTGTTTTCCTGGTAATTACCTTCTGTCCCCCTTGAGATGTAAACTCTCCAGGTCTGGACCTTGATTATTGCAAATCCTAATTGTTAGTTCATGCCTCCATTTGAAGGATGTTTTGTCTTTGTTTTGGAGTATTTCAAGAAATGTTGCAAGGGCGATTCTGTAGCCAGATGAGCCCATATTTGTTATATCAGAATTTCGTCTTTTACTCTTAGATTTATCTTTGAGAATTTGATTTTTTCATTCATTACAATTTAAATTAGTCAGTGATATTTATGTAGAAGTCAGTTTCAGACTCACTTGTATCTCTTCTTGACAATGAAGAAACACAGTAATCCAAATAAAAGAGCAGATCCAAGACAAGAGATGACTGGTATGAGAATGTGGCTGAGAGTTGCTTGTTCTGGTAGAAAAAAAAAATCACTTAAAGGGGTCATATGATGCGATTTCAAGTTTTGCTTTCTCTTTGGAGTGTTACAAGCTGATTGTGCATAGATAAGAACTTTAAAACAATATATACACAGAACAGTTTTATCGTTGTACCTTTCACAAAGATAGGGTGAGTCGCTGTCATTTCGCCCTCGACATTCCCGTGGTGCTTGACTGTGCATGTGATAGAGGTGTGATCATCCTCTTTTTGAGGGACGAAGGTCAGGACAGACTCTGTTTCCCAGTTTCCATGACGAATGTCCTTTATGTTTATGGTGGCTTTTCCAGTGTGGCTCCAGGTGAGAGTGGGCTGGTAAGACGGACAGGTGTGCCGGACAGAGCACTTGAAGACTGCAGGTTCACCCTCCGGCACAGACTGCTCAGCCTGCAGCTCTGGTTTTGATGCTTGCTCTGTAAATGCATTTTGAATGACAAAGCACATATTTCACTTAGTAAACAAAAGCAGAAACAAGGTCACTTTGTAATTATTTAGTCACTTTCCATTTTTCCATTAATTTTCTTATTTTGTACCCTATTTAGTTGTTGTAATCACAGGTTGAGAGCTCAAAAGCACACTTACTTACCGATCATTTTAATCGACACACAGTTTTTCACAAAGGAGTACTTGTCTTTTTGAGATGTTTCTAATTCCACCCTGAAACAATACGGGCCGTCAAAACACATATTTCACTTAGTAAACAAAAGCAGAAACAAGGTCACTTTGTAATTATTTAGTCACTTTCCATTTTAGGTCATTTTCTTATTTTGTACCCTATTTAGTTGTTGTAATCACAGGTTGAGAGCTCAAAAGCACACTTACTTACCGATCATTTTAATCGACACACAGTTTTTCACAAAGGAGTACTTGTCTTTTTGAGATGTTTCTAATTCCACCCTGAAACAATACGGGCCGTTGTCATGGTTTTTGACCTCATCGATCTCCAAGGAGCAGTTGGAACGACCCAGTGAACCAATCAGTTTTGTACGACCCTTGAAACTGTCTTTAACCCTTGTAGGGTCTTTGTGAAAAATAATATCATCCCAGTTGTCCTTCGTGTGCCATATAGCTCTTATACGATCAGAGGGCTGTTCTTGACCAGGGTATTTGAATGAACAGGGCAACACGACACAAGATGAGACCAGAGCCTCCATTTCAGGCTCTACATGTGCCTTCCAAACATCAGCAAACACGCCTGCGCAAATAACTGCAAAATAATAATGATAAAAGTAAATACACTTAAAAAAAACCATTTCAATAAGTTGAAATTTTAATAGACATAATTTTAAAGGAGTAAATACTGTAAAACCTAACAAATGTCCTAACTAACACTTTTTAATTGACTTAATTTAATTTACTTAAAGTTGATTTTTAATTGTAAAAACCTAGAAATCCGTACTATTTGCATACTATGCCTTCGTTACTCAAAAAAACCTAATTAAGATAAATTGATTTGTGCGAGTACCATTATGTCAAGTTAGTTTTAGTTCCCAGCATGCTTTACTTCAGACTTATGTTAGAATTAAGTTTTATTTTATGCATTTCTGCAAAGGTTTAATATGGGGGGGTCATCAGTAAGTGTTTAATATTATGTTATGTTTGATTTTAAAAGGGTTTCTGTTATGTTTTTGTTTACATTGTACTGAAAAGAGCCTGCATTGGCCTACAAATGTTAAGACTATATAAAGCCCTATAAAAAAAAAAAAACAGTCTCTCTGTTGGTTATGTTAGCATGTGTACTATTACTTGGTCTTTTAAATGCAATCGGTTTGCATGGTTTTAACAAGTAAATCAGATCACAGTTCACAGTAAATGTTACATTAGTTAAATTAACTTAAATAAATTTGTTTGGAATACATTATATTTAAAGGTCCCATATTGTCAAAACTGAAATGTCCTGGCTTTTTTCATGATAACTGAGGTCTAGGTGCTATGTAACTACCATATAAGTTTCAAAACCGTCAGTCCACAGTATAATTCACACAGCCTGCATAAAGTAGCTCTGATTTTTGACGAACCGTTGTGACTTCCGTAAAAAGTTGACGTCAGAACTACACAGTCACTGCCTTCAGTCACCACCCCGAGCACCGCCCACAGTCCCACTCTACTTTTGTCAAACCCCAGACAACATTGCGGAAACATGTTGAAAAGGTTAACTTTAACCACGAAACCAGATCGGAGACAATACTTTATTGAACCTTTTCTGATAAGAAGTGTGCGCTGCAAACGCGAGCATTTTTGACGATTGTTTCTGTCCATTCTGCTCGTTTTATCGCGTTTAGCCACAGCTGTCGTCGTTTTTTTGGCAGCAGATATGCGATATGCCGCAAATATATATTGTTAAGGACATCAAAACCTCAAATAAAACTCCAGAAAGGTGTAAAATATGGGACCTTTAACTTAAAGCTGCAGTCCGTAAGTTTTGCCTCTTTGTCGCCATCTCTGTTTGAAAACCTGGAATTGCAGTTACTTGCGGAATTATCTTCCATGCCTGGGTTGTGCTCCGGCACTGCTCCAGAGCGGATGAATCTAATGTTTTGAGGAGCATGTGGGGCAGTGAGCAGTCAGTCACCGCAACTGTGTGAATCCCATACTTAGTAATCACAGATTTTAGTCTAGGTCTTGGAATATATGACCCAAATAAGAATTTTCACCGAATACTGTCATCTGAACAAGTAAGTAACAAGTCTGCCACATTTGTTCTGACCAACTGAGGAAAAAGCATTACAATAAATTGTGCTATATGGGGATTTAATCTAACGATCAATTAACTCATATCACATCAAACCGTGCAAATTACTATTATTGTTATACTTTATTGTCAGATTATTAATGTTAACAACATCAGTATTGCGTGACTATGAGTATAGTGTGTTTCATACCAAGAAATTATTTTAACCCAAACGGCAAACTATGCTCCCTTGAACTGGTTGTCTTTAAAATACAAATCGTGTGTAATCCCAGGCTATCTGTAATCAGAAGCACATTTAAAACTGGAATATAATTTAATTTCATTTGCATGTGTTTCATATAAATACTTTCTGGATTACAATCCGCCATCAAAATGATTTTTTGACATTTAATTATTCTAGCTGCTGTGAGAAAAGGCTAACGATCTGCCACCTGCAGGATCCTCACATGCGATAGCCTAGTAGCCGGGACAACTTCTTTATGTTTACAGAAGTGACTTAATGACGCAGCAGCATGCTCGAATTTCACTCAAATTAGAAAACATTATTATAAGCTAACCCTTGTGAATCGGGCTAAAGTAAGATGATAGTTTTGAACACTGGCTGGTTATGTACTTGCTCAAATATTGATTTTGGATCATTTTTAACCAAAATAAGTTAGGGACTGCAGCTTTAAATTAAGTTTAACCCAATCGGGTTTGCATGTTTTGTTTTTTGTTTGTTTGTTTTTTTAGTAAGGTTAACTAATTAAGAGTTTACAGTGCACAAAATTAAAAAAAATAATTGATTCTTATAATATATGAAAAGAATGCTTTAAAAACATACCGTGAAGACAGTAGAGAAGAACTCATGACCGTAGTACACCCATGCTGGACTGGACTCTAGAAACTGAAGAGGCAAAAACGCAGCAAATGATTAAAAAATAATAATGAAAAAAAAGTGTTAGGCTATTGATTTCTTAACAACACATATTTTTTGTCTAGGACACTGCCACTGGATTGGCTTCAGTACCCAACCAAAAACCCAACCATCTTGCTTAACTAACACGTAATTCCACTCTAAACGAATACCCATAATGCACCTGGCTGCTAGCGCTCACTGCCGGGTCATTACACTATTATTAACATCTACATCGTTACAAAGCGGACCAAATGCGAACCTTCCCTGTTTGCTGGGAAAGTGTGGAAGAACGCCTTTTTTCACATTCCAGAGTAGTGGACTTACCAAGCGGTTGACGGACAAGCTTTGCTGGAAAGAAAAATCACAAATATAGCTGGTCAAGATAACACTGCATTTGGAAATACTTGCATAGTTCGGTAAAGTTGTGGGGAAGTTGTGGCCTAATGGTTAGAGAGTCGGATTCATAACCCAAAGGTTGTGGGTTTGAGTCTCGTACCGGCAGGGATTGTAGGTGGGGGGAGTGAATGTACAGCGCTCTCTCCCACCTTCAATACCACGACTGAGGTGCCCTTGAGCAAGGCACCGAACCCCCAACTGCTCCCCGGGCGCCGCAGCATAAATGGCTGGCCACTGCTCCGGGTGTGTGTTCACGGTTTGTGTGTGTTCACTGCTGTGTGTGTGCACTTTGGATGGGATAAATGCAGAGCACTAATTCTGAGTATGGGTCACCATACTTGGCCACATGTCACTTCACTCACTAAAGTTGGCAAGATATTCACAGATTCGACTTTTCCGGATCTATAAATCAAGAGCAAAACGTTTTTACTACACAATTGATGACTCTTTTCTTTCGTAGTGATGTAGAAAGCGAGCTACAACAAGCGAGTTTTCCTCGAAACAAGCTTTCCTCCTCTCTGTACAAAATGCGACTGCGGTCAAGCCAGCCGCCAAGTCGAAAAGCACGGTCAATCTAGCCGCCCATGCTGTTTTGTCTCTAATTTCAAAAAGCCATAAAAATAAAAGTTCAAGATTGCACAGACCAGTTCCACCTCATATTGAGAGTACACCTTCCCACAGTGTCAGCTGCGTCGTTTCAGGACTGTCTGATGTGGAATTACAAAATAAGAGCACCCACAACTTCCATATACATGCTGTTTTGTCTACATTCAAAAAGCTATAAAAATAAAAGTTCTGGATTGCTCAGACCAGTTCCACCTCAGATTGAGAGTACACCTTCCCATAGTGTCAGCTGCTTCGTTTCAGGACTGTCTGATGTTGAATTACAAAATAAGAGCCCCCACAACTTCCATATATATGCAGTTTTGTCTACATTCAAAAGGCTTTTTGAAATTAGAGACAAAACAGCATGTATATGGAAGTTGTGGGAGCTCTTATTTTGTAATTCCACATCAGACAGTCCTGAAACGAAGCAGCTGACATCGTGGGAAGGTGTACTCTCAATCTGAGGTGGAACTGGTCTGTGCAATCTAGAACTTTTATTTTTTAAACGTTTTGAATGTAGAGCTGCAGCAAGCGTATATTCTTGCTCTTATTTTGTAATATGAGTATTGGAGGGCTTTTATTTTGGTATTCAACATCAGACAGTTACTGACTGTGTGTTGGGGGGAAAAATCGCGTTCGCTGGATGAGGAGCACTGCATTCAGATCAGTTCTCTGACGGTTTTACCGTAATAGGCAGTTTATGCGCGACCCTCGAAATAACGTGGCGGCTAGATTGACCGTGCTTTTCGACTTGGCGGCTGGCTTGACCGCAGTAAAATAGCGCTGGCTTCTGAGGGAAAAGTCCAAGGGACCGACTGCAAAGTGCGAAACGCGAAAAATGTTACTAATAAAATAATAACTTCACAGTAACAGGCAGTAGTGTCACCAAATTCAGTTCACACATCACTGCTCTCCTGCTTGCTATACTACAACACTTATTTTGAAAGTAATTGCTTTGACACATGTTTTTATGAAAAATAGTTAATAACATTACTGTAACACACTGTACTTTCACCAAATTCAGTTCACACATCACTGCTCTCCTGATGGTTTTACTACAACAGTTATTTTTGAAAATAATTGGTTTTACACATTTTTATGATTTTTTTTATTATGACAAATTAATAACTTCACTGTAACACACATACTTTCTCCAAATTCAATTCACACACCACTGCTCTCTTGCTGGTTATACTACAACAATTATTTTGAAAATAATTGCTTTTACATATTTGTTTATGATTATTTAAAATGAAAAATAGTCATTCCCTTCATTGTTATTGGACAAAATCGTCAATAACTTCACTATAACACACTGCACGTTCACCAAATTCAGTTCACACATTACTGTTCTCCTGCTTGTTATACTACAACACTTATTTTGAAAAGAATTGCTTTTTAATTATTTTTATGATTTTTAAAAAAATATTGTATAAATGCAGTTATTAGACAAAATAGTGAGCGCGTTTAAATGCACGTTCTTAAGCCGATTATGCTTAATAAACCGAAAATGCACATGGTTATGTAAACGCGGTAACCCGTTTTCTTTTATCGGAGTAAGGTCATAAACGGCGTAAGCATAAACCGGTCGCAACAGGTAGTTTTTTGCCTCTTACTCCGATTTCGCACGGCATGTAAACGCAATAACCCGCTTTCTGTCGGCTTATTGAAGTGCGCATGTGTGATAAGTGACAGGAACGCATGTTAGTGCAGATTTAAGCGCATCTAGACCGAGCAAACGTCTTGCAGTAAAGAAAGAAGGAAATATATAACAAAAGCAGACTTTTTCATGACTCAGGAAATGCTAAAAATGTGTTATCATCTCATGCAGCAGAAGTTGAAGTGGTTCAATCACAATGCTGCGTTTATATCTGCATGAGAGTATAATGAGCTGTAAGTATCCCGACATGTTGCAAGTTGACATGTTGCAAGCTTAATTTAACATCATAACTGACAAATGCATGGAATACTCGGAGTCAGATACGCAAATGATTATATTTTGACGTCACTACAGGGAAATAACCTGATTTATTAATGAAGTCATGTAAACGCAGCTCACTTGCACTGTCAGGTTACTGATGTGCATGTAAACGGGGAAAACTGGTTATTTTAATAAGCTGATATTTGTGAGTTATCAGCTTACTGGTGTGCATGTAAACGTGCTCAATAACTTTACTGTAACACACAACTGTACCTTCACCAAATTCAGTTCTCACATCACTGCTCTCCTGCTGGTTTTACTACAAGACTTATTTTGAAAGTAATTGTTTTGACACATTTTTTATGATTGTTTTATTATGAAAAATAGTTAATAACTTTACTGTAACACACTGTACTTTCACCAAATCCAGTTTGCACATCACCGCTCTCCTGCTAGTTATACTACAACACTTGTTTTGAAAATAACTGCGTTGGCATATTTTTATCTATTATGAAAAATAGTCATTAACTTCACTGCCCATGTGCGCGCTCAAACTGTGTCCTTTGCACTTGCAAATCTGTGCTCTTGCGCTAGAAATGAATTCTCTTCTCACCTGGATTAAACGTTGTCAGAAGTTATTAACAAATCAGACTTCCATGACTGACCGATTAAAATGCTACGTGAAATCCAATTAGCTGGAATTCTTTTGACAATCAAAGATGGATCTTTAATTTCGTTACAATTTAATATTTAGTCATATTAATCAAAAGTATATTAGAAATGGCTGGGATTTGGGTGCTTGGATGATTTGTGCAAATAAATAAACTAGTAATCTGTCTGTCTAACTGGTTGGTCAAACCCCTCTATAACACAATAAAAACTAAACTAATGACTAAATCATGTCAAAAGTTATCAACCAATCAGACTTCCACGACTGACCGATGAAAATGCTACGTGAAATCTAATTGGCTAAGAGGGAACTGCACCTGTTCCTTTGATAATCAAAGATGGATCTGCCATTTCTTTTAATATTTAGTCATATTAATCAATTGTATATTAGAAATGGCTAGGAATGGGGTGCTTGGATGATTTGTACAAATAAATAACCTAGTCTGTCTAACTGGTTGGTCAAACCTCTCTGAGCGATTTATCTAAACAAAAAAAAGACGTAGCGAGTATGATTCAGTTCAAATAGTCATACATTTCTAGTGTAATTGAGTTTAAATACAACATCTTCTGATTTAAGACAGAACTATTTAGGTCAAGGGTCAGATGCACTATTCCCTAAATAATTAAAATGTGGAATATATACCACCGTAACGAATTTCTCATATTTGTCATAACATTATATTCTATGGGTTTAATGAATTTGCAGACAATGTAGTTATCTGTAACTGTCATGTAACTGTAAATTCAGTTTTAGAGGAGAATGCCATTGAATGTGTAGCCAATATGAAGTGTGTTTTCATGAGAAAAAAAAACAAATCTATCTAAAATCAGAACTGAAAACAAACTCTGGATGAAAAAAACTCCCAATAAATGTCCAAACAGCGATTCTATCACAGCAGTTGTGTTATAGAGGGGTTTGATCAACCAGTTAGACAGACAGATCGCACCCCAATCCCAGCCATTTCTAATATACTTTTGTATGACTAAATATTAAATTGCAACGAAATTAAAGATCCATCTTTGATTGTCAAAATAATTCCAGCTAATTAGATTTCACATAGCATTTTAATCGGTCAGTCATGGAAGTCTGATTTGTTGATAACTTTTGACAACGTTTAATCCAGGAGCGATAAGAATTAATTTCTAGCGCAAGAGCACAGAGGTTTGCAAGTGCAAAGGACACAGTTTGAGCGCGCACATGGGCACACTTTGAGCATGAGGAGAGATTTGCGATTGCAACGGACACGTTTTAAGTGCGCACACACTCTCTGGGTGAGAGCAGCGCATATCTTAGAGCGCGCGTGCAAGAGCAAAGGAAATCCGCGTGCGAGCGGAGAGATTCGCTCTCGCGCATCATAGCAATGTACTTTCGTGCT